ACTGCACTCCAGCCTGGGCGACAGATACAGGCTCCGTCTCAAAAAAAAAAAAAAAAAAAAAGTAAAAAAAAATTTTTTAAACTGGAACACAGAGGATAAGTAATCCTGCCTCACCCCTTGCCTCTCGCCCTTGCATGGGGCGAGGCAGGATTGATCAAACCCAGAAAGACTGAGGATGGATGCTGAACACAGAACTGAAGGATGAATGGGAATTACCTGAATAGAACAGGGGCTTGAGTGCAAGAAGAGGCGGGCATTCCAGGCAGAGGAGAGCAATGGTAAGGGCCCCACGGTAGGCATCCGAGTAGGAGGGTAGAACTATGATGATAGAAGACTGAATAACGATCGAATGAAACCAAATGATTGGGCGCCTTCTTTCGGATCCTTGACTTCCAGGGTCAGCAGTCTCTATTGGCTCTTATACCGTTGCTCTATGAGGTATCAATGTTTTTGTCCTTCAGCCTCCCCTCCAATTGCTGAGCTCCTGGTGTGTTTTGAGGAGTAGAAGGCAAAAAGAACCCTCTTGTTTTTCTTTGGATCCGGAGAGAGAGTGAGCAAATAACAAAGCAAATGGTGTAAAATGTCTTTTTGTTTAGTTTTTCTCGATCTTCCCATGAGAGGCAAATACATGTTAAGGATAGTTGAATCTGGGTAAAGGGTACAGAAATGTTCCTTACAAGATTTTTGTTGGCAACTGGTGCAAGTATGAAATTATTTCCAAATAGGAAGCTAAAACAAACAAAACAATTGGCCTTGGGAAACTGGCCAATCTTGAAATAATCAAGTAATATTGTTAAGGGACAATCAGTATTGTGAAAACACGAATACGCTCCCTCCCTCCCCCTCAAAAAAAACCCTAAATTCTGTTCCCCCGTTGCTAATGTGCGATCCTGGCAAAGTCATCTAAGCCGCTGAGCTTCAGTTACTCCACCCCAGAGAGCTGTTGCAACGATCAAATGAAAGAACGTATATTAAAGCCTTTCATGAACTATATTATTACTGCTACCGTAGAAATGGAAAGTGTACAACAATAATTTGGACTAGATCCAAAACTACTTTTGACACTTCTGAGACTGTGGCCGCGCCACTGTCACCTTCCAAAGGTCACCAGGCCTTTCCTGAGCTGGCATTGGCAGCGCACACTCTTGCCCGGCTCACCTTTCCAGGTGGGCGGTGCTCGCGCTGCTCGGCTCTCCAGGTGACCGCGGCAGCTGCCCGAGACCGCAGGCGCGGAGGCAGACCACGTGAGAGTCTGGCCACGCCTTCCGACCTAGCCTCACTCTGGCCCCGCCCCTCTCGAACGCCTTCGCGGGATCGCCCTGGAAACGCATTCTCCGGGACAGGCAGCCACCAATGGGAAAGGAGTGAGTGCCACGAACAGGCCAATAAGGAGGGAGCAGTGCGGGGTTTAAACCTGAGGCTGGGCCTGCTTTTCCCGGCGTGCTGCGGAGGAACGGCTGTTGGTCTCTGCTGGGTGCAGGTCCTCGGCTGGTCGGGGCTCCGGTGTTCTGCTTCTCCCCGCTGAGCTGCTGCCTGGTGAAGAGGAAGCCATGGCGCTCCGAGTCACCAGGGTGAGCCGCTACGGACTGCGAACTGACGCGGCCTTCTTCGCTGCAGCCTGCTCGCTCTGCCTCGCCTGCGGGAGCCCCCCGAGCGGGAGAGGGCCGCAGGAACGATTTGGGGAGGAAGGTGGGAGGGAAGTCACCAAGAGAGCGTCGAGGTGGGCCCAGGCCTGGTGGGGGAGTGTGGGGGACGATGGATGGAGGGAGGAAGGTGAGAAAGAGAACTGAACCGATATTGGATAAATGTTTGGGGGAGATGGAAAGTCGACTGGGAACCTTTTGAAAAAGTGATAGAGGGTCCCTGAGTGGGCCCGCTAGCAGCTCTGTAACCCCCTTCCCAGAGAGAAGGTGTCTGCAATTGGAGGCTTTTTCGGTTTCCTTTCAAACGTAAATTCTCGGTATTTTAGGGCTTGGCAGGACTAATCAGGGAATCCCTCAATTGGTAAATGTAGAGGTTGTCGGCGGAAACTGACTTGTCACGGCCGCAGAGTAGACTCTGGGACCCACGTTTTCCCTCGGAACCCATTTTTACTCGGCTTTCCTTCTGGGAACTTCTCTTGTGCCCCACCTTAATTAACCCTTGACTTACTCGAGCCTCCGTGGACCAGCTCTTAAAGTGGTCTTGCTTCTTTCAGAACTCGAAAATTAATGCTGAAAATAAGGTGAAGATCAGCATGGCAGGCGCAAAGCGCGTTCCTACGGCCCCTGCTGCAACCTCCAAGCCCGGATTGAGGCCAAGAACAGCTCTTGGGGACATTGGTAACAAAGTCAGTGAACAACTGCAGGCCAAAATGCCTATGAAGAAGGTAACTGTCTTCCCGACCTAACTTCTGTAAGAGCTGGCCTTCCAACTGTGGCCTTTGATGCAGAAACATTTCATTCTCTCTGTTTCATCTACAGGAAGTAAAACCTTCAGCTACTGGAAAAGTTATTGATAAAAAACTACCAAAACCTCTTGAAAAGGTACCTATGCTGGTGCCAGTGCCAGTGTCTGAGCCAGTGCCAGACCCAGAACCTGAGCCAGAACCTGAGCCTGTTAAAGAAGAAAAACTTTCGCCTGAGCCTATTTTGGTAAACTTATTCTTACCATTGTAGAGTCTGTTGATTATTTCTTGTCCCTTATTTCACTGCAAGAGCATTCAAATTAATACCATTTATTGAGTGCTTAGCATGAGGCAATCTCTGCCCAACATTCTACATGCATTAACTCACATAATCTTTACAGGTACTCTGAGGTAGGTATTGTCACCTCTACTATTTAAATCATGGCTTTAGAGAGGTTATGTCAGGGTCACACAGGTAAGTGGCCCATATGAGATTTAAGCTCAGGCTGTCTGGCTTCAGAATCTATGCTTTTAATTGTTAATTGTCTTATATTCCTTCGTTAATGATATTAAGTAGTACCTGCCTGAGCCAAAGGCTTTGTTTGTCCAAGTACAAGCCACCTCTGCAGAATTTATTGGAGTAAACAGAATGTTCTCTTGAAATTTTTTACTGCCTAATATGGCTACTAAATAATAAACCTGTAACACTGGAAAATGCAAAGGAGTAAAACAGGAAGAATGCAACTTTTCAGGGAGTGGTTAAGAAGATGAATTAACACTTAGCCTCAAAACTAGTAACTTTTTATTAAATAAAAGGTATGTAAATGTATCCTATGATAGACCTCCCTGTGAAGGAAAGGTAGGTCATGTAGAGGAGGCTGCTTTGATGAAACTGCAATGAACTGCATTCTGAAGCTCAGTTTTTTAAACTTAGTTAAAACCAGTTGGGAAAATTATCTGAAAAAAAATTTTTTCAGACAGAGTCTGGCTCTGTTGCCCAGGCTGGAGTGCAGTGGTGTGATCTCGGCTCACTGCAACCTCTGTCTCCCAGGTTCAAGCAATTTTCCTGCCTCAGTCTCCCTAGTAGCTGGGATTACAGGCGCACAACACCACACCCAGCTAATTTTCATATTTTTAGTATAGATGAGGTTTCACCATGTTGGCCAGGCTGGTCGTGAACTCCTGACCTCGTGATCTGCCTACCTCGGCCTCCCAAAGTGCTGGGATTACAGGCGTGAGCCACCGCGCCCAGCCAGTTAAGCTTCTTATATCTAAGGATAAGACATTGAAAACTATTGCTTTAGTGTTGAATTTCTGGGCATAGCACATGAAACATGTAGCCAGCATGGTCTTTGGGCATATCAAACTACATGATGCTTTCTCGAAAGGTCCATACCGATTCTTACCTTTGCTTTCCCACTTAGTAAGAATGCCTTCCCCACCCTTTCATTTAGCTAATAACCTTTTCATCTTTGAAAACAGCTCAAGCATCAACTCCTGAAGCTTTCCTGAACTTCTCCCATCTCCACCCCTGTTCCTAGAATCAGTCTGTTTGTTTTGAGACAGTCTCATTCTGTTGCCCAGGCTGGAGTGCAGTGATGCCATCTCAGCTCACCGCAACCTCTGCCTCCTGAGTTCAAGCGATTCTCCTGCTTCAGCCTCCCAAGTAGCTGGGACTACAGGCACGTGCTACCATGCCTGACTAATTTTTCTATTTTTAGTAGAGACGGGGTTTCACTATGTTGGCCAAGCTGGTCTCGAACTCCTGATCTCGTGATCCACCTGCCTCAGTCTCCCAAAGTGCTAGGATTACAGACATGAGCCACCATGCCCAGTCTCAGTCTTATTTTTGTTTATTTATTTATTTTTTCCCGAGACGGAGTCTTGCTGTGTCACCCAGGCTGGAGTGCAGTGGCGTGATCTTGGCTCATTGCAACCTCCGCCTCCCGGATTCAAGCAGTTCTCTTGCCTCAGCCTCCTGAGTAGTTGGGATTACAGGCACCCGCCACCACACCCAGCTAATTTTTTTTTTTTTTTTTTTTTTTTTTTTTCTATTTTTAGTAGAGAGGGAGTTTCACCAGGTTGGCCAGGCTGGTCTCAAACTCCTGACCTCATGATCCGCCAACCTGGGCCTCCCAAAGTGCTGGGATTACAAGTGTGAGCCACCGCACCCGACCTTATTTCTTTACTTTGTCTACTAAATTCAGAGTCCCTGAGGATGCCATGAAGTCAATGCCTTGTAGAGTTTGACTTGAAGAAGGGGCTCAATAAATGTTTGAACAATGGGATAAAGGGAGCTTGAAGGAAGTGGTTAATGGTAATGAAGTTAATCCTTAGTAGTCAGGATAGAATTTATGTTATTTTGAGTAGTGAGAAGCAGTTTATATTTTGAAATAAAGACTAAAGACTGAACTGTCCTTTATTTGGATTAACTTCACATGTTGCTGATAAAGATTAATTACTTCTCAGTTTCCTTTGCAGGAAAGTCTAGAATGTGAATTTATTTGCTTCCAACTTTAAACTGACTCACTCTGAGTTGGCATTTCACTCTTTTTTTTGCCCAGGCTGGATTAGAATGGCGCAATCATAGCTCACTGTATCCTCAAACTGCTGGGCTCAAGTGATCCTCCTACCTTGGCCTCCTGAGTAGCTAGGATTATAGGCAGTTGCCTTCATGCCCAGCTAATTTTTTGTAGAGATGAGTTATTGCTATATTGCCCAGGCTGGTCTCGAACTCATGGTCTCAAAGGATCCTCCCACCTCAGCCACCCAAAGAACTGCGATTACAGGCTTGAGCCACCATGCCCGACCTCATTCTTTTTAATTGAGTAATTAAATGATCACTTTCTTTTTTAACAAAGACAGGGTCTTGCTATATTGCCAAGGCTTGTCTTGATCTCCTGGCCTCAACCTCAGCCTCTCAAAGTGCTGAGATTAAAGGCGTGAGCCACCGCGCCCAACCCAAATGATCACTTTGGATGTTAATCACTTCCTAAAAAGAAATGGAATAAGTCTGAAAAGATACTTTTCCTTTAAGGAAATGAATTGTATGTTGATTCAGGAGAATACTATCTTGAGTTGGTACCAATAACCTGACCTTCAAGCCCAAACTATAGTGCTTACTCCTATTTGCTCTTGTTTCAAGAGATCTCTTTGTTTTAAGGTTGATACTCCCTCTCCAAGCCCAATGGAAACATCTGGATGTGCCCCTGCAGAAGAAGACCTGTGTCAGGCTTTCTCTGATGTAATTCTTGCAGTAAATGATGTGGATGCAGAAGATGGAGCCGATCCAAACCTTTGTAGTGAATATGTGAAAGATATTTATGCTTATCTGAGACAACTTGAGGTCAGTATTATCATTAGTTTTTTTTCTAAACTGCATCTAACTTTATGAAAGTCTTTTCTATCAATAGTTCATAATAATTCAAGCAGGACTTGGGCAGCATTTCTTAAGAGATCGCACTTTCAAATTCTCCTTCATGGAATACCTAAAATAAAAAGTCACTAAATCAATGGAGTCTGTTTGCCACTTTGTGCAGGAAAGTTCGAAGTCAGGGTGGATACTACTATCGGTCTTTCTGAAGGAAAGTCCACAGATTGAATTTGATATGTATATGTGCAATCTCCACCGTATTTGGAATGGTTAAGTCCCAAACTCTGCATTTTAGGTAATAATGGGTCAGCAAGTGGATGAGGATGTAGAATATACTCAAAGACTACAGCCACCCCTAACACAAGGCATTTTGTGTTAGTGTGGCTGATGTGCGTCCAGTTGTTGGTGAAATTATTTGTGCCCAAAAGGAGTACACTCAAAAGCTACTTTTTGGTTCACTTCAATTTGATCCCACTTTTGAAACTTTCTCTTAATGGCATTTGCCCTTTTCCTACAAACACAAGCATTCTATATGGCAGCATAAACATAGTAGCGTCAACTATACCGTTATCACATTTACCTAGTTTTTTGGTGTATGTGTGGGTTTTTTTTTTTTTTTAGAGGGAGTCTCACACTGTCGCCCAGGCTAGAGGGCAATGGTGCCGTCTCAGCTCACTGCAATCTGCCTCCTGGGTTCAAGCAAGCAATTCTCCTGCCTTAATCTGCCGAGTAGTTGGGATTGCAGGCACACACCACCATGCCTGGCTAATTTTTTGTATTTTTATTTGGTTTTGGTTTTTTGAGACAGGGTCTTGCTCTGTTGCCCAGGCTGGAGTGCAGTGGTGCAATCTCGGCTCACTGCAACCTCTGCCTCTCGGGTCAAGTGATTCTCATGCCTCAGCCTCCTGAGCAGCTGGGATTACAGGTGCCCACTACAACACCCAGCTAATTTTTGTACTTTTAGTAGAAATGAGGTCACCATATCGGCCAGGCTGGTCTCAAACTCCTTAGATGATCCACCCACCCGGCCTCCCAAAGTGCTGGGATTACAGGCATGAGCAGTCGCACCCAGCCCCCAGTTGTTTTTAATGCATCGTCTTAATGTCATCACTGACATCTCTTGCCTGCTCCTTTGGGGCCTCTCCTTTTTCTATAGGATTCTTCTGCAAGACTTCTATGCCAGGAGTAGCCTTCTGCTTTGAGTTTCTTCTGCCATCTTTTTAGGGCTTTTTAAAGTTGTGTTCTAACTTTGGAGGATACCTTTTTTTTTTAAGACACTCTCGCTGTGTCACCCAGGGGGTGTGCCGTGGCTCACTGCAAGCTCCGCCTCGCAGGTTCACGCCATTCTCCTGCCTCAGCCTCCTGAGTAGCTGGGACTACAGGCACGTGCCACCATGCCTGGCTAATTTTTTGTATTTTTAGTAGAGACAGGGTTTCACCATGTTAGCCAGGATGGTCTCGATCTCCTAACCTCATGATCCGCCCACCTTGGCCTCCCAAAGTGCTGGGATTACAGGCATGAGCCACCGTGCCCAGCCTGTAAATGTGCTGTTTCTTGATGCTTCGTTCTTGTTCTGTGCAAGGCGGCCATATATGCAAAGCAACCCCCCAAATGTCAGAAGAGCTGAGAAACCAAGGAATGAGGCAGATAAATGGAGTTTGCTGGTATTGGGTGACTGATGAGGGGGAATTTACAGACATAAGTCTGGTCTTTGATGGCTGTAAGATGTAGATCTCTGCACTGTAACCCCTCATACCCACGGCTTGAGTATGTATACATTTTCTTGGGGAAAGTATACGTGCTCTAGAGTGAATGTGCGGGTGGTTGAGAGAATGCTACAGACATCATAGCCTATAATGTATACAATAGTATGAAGGGCTGTTTTGGAGGAGAGGCCAAACTTAAAGTGAACAGGCAGAAGGCACATTGGATTAGCATTTAAAATAAAGTCACTCTTGTCCTCCACAGTTCTTAGCTATGTTGCTGTTGGGCTTTAACCCTGGAGCAGGCAGGAGTGTTGTAGTACATGGGTTCCAGCTGCCCTGGGAGTTTGATATTTTCTCTACGTAAAGCTCAGGTTCTAACTTTAAAGGCTCAAGTGAAAAGATCTGAGATGATAGTATAGTATCTTTATTTGGAAGGGAGTGGACTAGCAAGAGTTGTGGTGAATTGAATATCGTTAAGACCTGACAATATAAAAAAGCTGTCACACTGTCCTATCTAATGTTTGCCCTTTTTTGGCGGGGGGGTGAAGGGGGAAGACAGTCTCTCTCTGTCACCCAGGCTGGAGAGCAGTGGTGCAATCTCGGCTACCTGCAACCTCCACCTCCTGGGTTCAAGCAATTCTCCTGCCTCAGCCTCCTGAGCAGCTGGGACTACAGGTGTGCGCAACCATGCCCAGCTAATTTTTGTATTTTTAGTAAAGAGAGGTTTTGCCATGTTGGCCAGGCTGGTCTCGAACTCCTGGCCTCAAGCAATCTGTCCATCTCAGCCTCCCAAAGTGCTGGGATTACAGGCATGAGCCACCACGCCAGCCTTAATGTTTGCTTTCTTTCTTGGTGATGGTGTTGTTTGTGGTGACCATATGAATAATTGAATTAAGAACTGATACAAAGGCTGGGCACAGTGGCTCACGCCTGTAATCCCAGCACTTTGGGAGGCCAAGACAGATGGATCACGAGGTCAGGAGATCGAGACCATCCTGGCTAACACAGTGAAACCCCGTCTCTACTAAAATACAAAAAAAAATTAGCCGGGCGTGGTGGCGGACGCCTGTAATTCCAACTACTCGGGAGGCTGAGGCAGGAGAATGGCATGAACCCGGGAGGTGGAGCTTGCAGTGAGCCGAGATCGCGCCACAGCACTCCAGCCTGGGCGACAGAGCGGGACTCCGTCTCAAAAAAAAAAGGAACTGATAGAGATTCTAAATGCCCCAGTGCTACTTACTGTAGGAACTAACTGATCTTTCTGGACATAAATGTGTCACATGGAGTCATGTTTCTAAGAATAATCGGCATTTTCTTTTGCAGGAAGAGCAAGCAGTCAGACCAAAATACCTACTGGGTCGGGAAGTCACTGGAAACATGAGAGCCATTCTAATTGACTGGCTAGTACAGGTTCAAATGAAATTCAGGTTGTTGCAGGAGACCATGTACATGACTGTCTCCATTATTGATCGGTTCATGCAGGTAAGCATTTCAGTAAGTTTTCCCTTCCAGGATTCTAGCCGAGTCATAAGAAGCTGACGTTTTTGGGCTGGGCCGGGTGTGGCGGCTCATGCCTGCAATCCCAGCGGGCGGGTGGATCACGAGGTTAGGAGATCGAGACCATCTTGACTAACACAGTAAAACCCCGTCTCTACTAAAAATACAAAAATTTAGCTGGGTGTGGTGGCGGGCGCCTGTCGTCCCAGCTACAGGAGGCGGAGGTTGCAGCGAGCTGAGATCGCGCCATTGCACTCCAGCCTGGGCGACAGAGTGAGACTCCATCTCAAAAAAAAAAAAAAAGAAAGAAACTGACTTTTTCAGCTAAAATCTTTCTTGGGGGATATGGTATCATTAATTAAGATTTTGCAATGGGAGAATGTCTTTCTACCTCTCCATCATAGCTCTGTGTCTCCTTTTCAAACATGTTATTCATTGTGTTGAAATTCCCATTGCAGAATAATTGTGTGCCCAAGAAGATGCTGCAGCTGGTTGGTGTCACTGCCATGTTCATTGCAAGCAAATATGAAGAAATGTACCCTCCAGAAATTGGTGACTTTGCTTTTGTGACTGACAATACTTACACTAAGCACCAAATCAGACAGATGGAAATGAAGATTCTAAGAGCTTTAAACTTTGGTCTGGGTCGGCCTCTACCTTTGCACTTCCTTCGGAGAGCATCTAAGATTGGAGAGGTACAGGTTTCTTAAGAAACCTTTCGGTATGGGTACATTAGGGAACACTGCTGCTGACCAAGCAAGTCGAATTCAACTGACCTATATTATACCTAACTACATGGGGAAGAGATAAAGTTGTTCTTTATTTTTAGTCAGGCTGCATGTTAATATTAGGGCTTTCCGTGGGCACTTGAGAGTTTGTAGACAAACATTTGTAGTTAAAAGATACATATGGGCATGCAGGTTAGTGCCAAATGAAAATTTTCTGAAAGAAACTCAGTGACACGGGTTTTGTTTCAGGTTGATGTTGAGCAACATACTTTGGCCAAATACCTGATGGAACTAACTATGTTGGACTATGATATGGTGCACTTTCCTCCTTCTCAAATTGCAGCAGGAGCTTTTTGCTTAGCACTGAAAATTCTGGATAATGGTGAATGGGTAAGCTCTGTCCCACAGAACTCCTAAGCTTTTAAATTGTAAAGAATGTTTGACTAAATACAGAACTTTTGTTATTAAAGGGCAATTCAAGTGATTCATAAATATGGGATCTACTGAAGGAATAGTTTAAAAAGATGTCTTAGAATGTTTCCACATGGTTTTGTTTTTGAGACAAGGTCTCGCTCTGTCGCCTGGGCTGGAGTGCAGTGATGCAGTCTTGACCCACTGCAACCTCAGCCTCCAGAGTAGCTGGGACTGAAGGTTTCTGGCTAGTTTTTAAATTTTTTTCATGTCAGATGGGTAATATGCCCATGTTGTAACAAGGTTTGAGGGTGGCACATTTCACACGTTCACATGAATACCCAATCATCACACTTATAAACTACAAGAGTCGCCCACCAGCCTGGGCAATGTAGCAAATCCTCATCTTTACAAATATATATATATATATATATTCAGGTTGTTGCAGGAGACCATGTACATGACTGTCTCATCTTTACAAATATATATATATACACACACACACAAATATATATATATACACAAATATATATATATACACACACAAATATATACACACACACACATACATATATATATATATATATATATAGGCACATGTCTGTAGTCCCAGCTACTCTGGAGGCTGACCTTTATATTTTTTGTAGACATGGTGCCTCCCTATATTACCCAGGCTGGTCTTGAAACCCTGGGCTCAAGCGATCTACCCACTTCCACTTACCAAAGTGTTGGAATTACAGGCTTGAGCCATTGCAACCAGTCAAGTGTTTCCATTTCTTTGCCTAATTTCAACTGTATTCCCCTTGAGAAAGGTAGAGCAACTTTTACTCCTTAGAGGAGAAACTTGAAGGTCAAGTGACATACAAATAGTACATTCATATTCATTGATTCAGCAAATGCGTCTCCTATGTGGCAGGCACTACCCTAGGTGTTAAGAATAGAACTATGCAGCCGGGTGTGGTGGCTAACACCTGTAATCCCAGCACTTTGGGAGGCCAAGGTGGGCAGATCACGAGCTCAAAAGTTCAACACCAGTCTGACCAATGTGGTGAAACCCTATCTCTACTAAAAATACAAAAATTAGCCAGGCATGGTGGTGCAAACCTGTAATCCCAGCTACTCAGGAGGCTGAGGCAGGAGAATCACTTGAACCCGGGAGGCGGATGTCGCAGTGAACCAAGGTCACACCATGCACTCCAGCCTGGAGTGAGACTCCATCTCAAAAAAAAAAAAAGAAAGAAAAGAATAGAACTATGACAAAGTTGGCCTCAAGGAAGTGGAGTCTAGTTTTAGGGTGGGCAAGTCAACAATTACAATAGTGCAATTGTGTTTGAGCAGAGGTTCCTATAGAAGCATGAGAGCACCTAGGAAAGGAGGAGTCTTTAGCTTTGTCTTACATTTCACTTATATTAATTAATGATACAGTACCCTTCCCTTCCCCACTCCTGAATAACATCAAACATCTAGAAACTTTATGAAAATCATTATCGATTGAGCATTTTTAACATTAACTTTTGTTGTCTTAGACACCAACTCTACAGCATTACCTGTCATATACTGAAGAATCTCTTCTTCTGGTTATGCAGCACCTGGCTAAGAATATAGTCATGGTAAATCAAGGACTTACAAAGCACATGGTGAGTCAATATAGTGGCATTGTAAGATGTCAAAAAGTCTAATAATTCAAACTTAATGCCTGCAAATGCCTGGTTTATTTTTAATGAGTTAATGTTTTAAATGAATACCTGTATCATTGGATCTTGTGGTTTTTTTCCCCTCTTTAATTGCTATCCTTTTGTCTTCCAGACTGTCAAGAACAAGTATGCCACGTCGAAGCATGCTAAGATCAGCACTCTACCACAGCTGAATTCTGCACTAGTTCAAGATTTAGCCAAGGCTGTGGCAAAGGTGTAACTTGTAAACTTGAGTTATATTTACAAATAAAATTGGCACCATGTGCCATCTGTACATATTACTGTTGCATTTCCTTTTAATAAAGCTTATGGCCCCTTTTACTTTTTTATAGCTTAACTAATTTGAATGTGGTTACTTGCTACTGTAGGGTAGCGGAAAAGTTGTCTTAAAAGGTATGGTGGGGAATATTTTTAAAAACTGCTTTTGGTTTACCTGGGGATCCAATCGATGTATATGTTTATATACTTGGTTCTTGTTTTATGTACCTGGCTTTTACTTTATTAATATGAATTACTGAAGGTGATGGAGGTATTTGAAAATTTTACTTCCATAGGACATACTGCATGTAAGCCAAGTCATCATGGAGAATCTGCTACGTAGTTCTATTTTAAAGTAAAAGTCTACCACCAAATCCCTAGTCACCCTGTTAGAATTCTGTTTCTTCTGGTGATTGCTGCCATAATTCTAAGTTATTTACTTTTACCACTATTTAAGTTATCAACTTTAGTATCTTCAAACTTTCACTTTGAAAAATGAGAACTTTATATTCTAAGCCCAGTTTTCATTTTGGTTTTGTGTTTTGTTTAATAAAACAATACTCAAATACAAAAGGTATCTTTTTTAAAAGTTAATTTACCCCTTCCTTAGGCTCTTTCTAAATCCCACCCACCTGAAATCGACAATTACGGATTTATCCTTCCATGTCTTGTATATAGATGTGCATATCAATTTTTATGGGTTTTTTAAAAATGTGGTTTATTCTATATACATAACAATTATTGTCAACATACATAAGCCTACCTGTATTTGTGCATTATATTACATGGTACTGATAGTCATGTGCCCCATGAACATTTTGGTCAAAGACAGACTACATACACCTTGGTGGTCCCATAAGATTATGATGCCATACTTTTACTGTACCTTGTGCCTAAATACACAAATACTGACGTGTTATAATTGCCTGCAGTATTCAATAACATAGTGTATAGTTTTGTAGCCTAGGAGCTATAAGCTACACTATATAGCCTAGGAGTGCAGTAGGGTATGCCATCTAGATTTGTGTGAGTATACTCTGGTGTTTGAACAATAAAATCACCTAATGACACATTTCTCAAACCATATCCCAATCATTAAGCAACACATGAGTAAGTTTTTTTGTTTTTGCGACAGTCTCGCTCTGTTGCCAGGCTGGAGTGCAATGGCACGATCTCGGCTCACTGCAACCTTCGCCTCCTGGGTTCAAGCGATTCTCCTGCCTCAGTCTCCTGAGTAGCTGAGATTACAGGCATGCACCACCACGCCCAGCTTATTATGTATTTTTAGTAGAGACGGGGTTTCACCATGTTGGTCAGGCTGGTCTTGAACTCCCGATCTCAGGTGATCTGCCTGCCTCAGCCTCCCAAAGTGCTGGGATTACAGGCGTGAGCCACCATGGCCAACTAATTTTTTGTAATTTTAGTAGAGATGGGGTTTCACCGTGTTAGCCAGGATGGTCTCGATCTCCTGACCTCATGATTCGCCCACCTCTGCCTCCCAAAGTGCTGGGATTACAGGCATGAGCCACCGCACCCAGCCCTAACTAGGCAATTTTTATATGTGGTGTGAAGTAGAATTCTTCCAGATACCCGTTTACGCCAGTGCCATGACTGAAACCCTCCTTGTCTAACTTGAAATATCTTCAATGCCCATCTATTCTTCCCTGATCTTGTTTTTTCCTGTGATAATACAGTTTTACCAGTTTATCAGTTAAGATAAGGCTTACCAAATATATGGGGGTACTACCAAACACTTCTATAAAAACTTTAAAATTGTGTATAGTTACCAAAAAGTTCCTTTTTTGTTGTTGTTGTTTGTTTTTTGAGGCGGAGTCTCGTTCTGTTGCCCAGGCTGGAGTGTAGTGGCGCTATCTTGGCTCACTGCAACCTCCGCCTCCCCAGTTCAAGCGATTCTCCTGCCTCAGCCTCCCGAGTAGCTGGGATTACAGGCATGCACCACCATGCCCTGCCATTTTTGTATTTTTAGTAGAGACGGGGTTTCTTCATGTTGGTCAGGCTGGTCTCCAACTCCACACCTCAGGTGATCAGGCCGCCCGAAGTGCTGAGACTACAAGCGTGAGCCACCACACCCGGCCAGTTTCATCTTTTTAAAGCCTTACAATCATTTGAAGTCCCCATTCATTCATTGGAAACTAGCTAAATTAAACAGTGAAGTCGTTTGTCCTGGAGCTATTAAATATAATAGGCCAGGCACAGTAGCTCACACCTGTAATCCCAGCACTTTGCAAGACTGAGGCAGGTGCGTTGCTTGAGCCCAGAAGCTCGAGACCAGCCTGGGCAACATGGCGAAATCCCATCTACACAAAAATTAGCCAGGGGTACTGGAGTGCACCTGTGGTCCCAGCTGCTGAGGTGGGAGAATCACCTGAGTCAGGGAAGTCAAAACTATAGTGAGCCAAGATCACACAACTGCACTCCAGCCTGGGTGTGGGAGTGAGACCCTGTCTCGAAAAATAAAATGGTAAATATTCCATGCATTTTTGGTCTCTTCTAAAGATTTTTCTCTGTATGATACAATTGCTCTTTTAGAGATGTTCCTCCCCTACATTAATAGAAAATTATGTCCATGTTTGGTGGCTCACGCCTATAATCCTAGCACTTTGGGATGCTGAGGCAGGAGGATTGCTTGAGGCCAGGAGTTCAAGACTGACCTGGGTAACATAGTGAGACCCTGTCTCTAAAAAAATATAAAAAATAGACTCTTAGCACTTTAGGAGGCTGAGTTGGGTGAGACCCTGTCTCTATTAGAAAAAGAAATTGTAAAATTTAAAAAATTAGCCCAGCAGTCATGGTGGTATGTGCCTGTAGACCTAGCTACTTAGAATGCTAAGGCAGGAGGATCACCAGAACCCAGGAGTTTGAGGCTGTAATGAGTTATGCTCGTGCTACTGCACTCCAAGCTGGATGACACAGCAAGAGCGTGCCTCGTACAAAAAAAAAGAAAAAAAAAAAGGAAAAAAAAAATCCGTTCTAGATTTTTAAAGTTACGGCTGTAGAGGACCATGACAAAATTAATCTCAGGCTGGTCTCGAACTCCTGACTTCGTGATCCGCTCACTGCAGCCTCGCAAAGTGCTGGGATTAAAGGCGTGAGCCACCGCACCTGGCCAGTCAATATCTTTTGAGATTTTTTTTTTTTTTTGTCAGCTTGACGTTTTTTTGTTTTTAGAATTTTCAATTCTTGCCTCCTCAGAAGAAAGGATTTGACTGAGGGGCGTAAGGCAGGAGAGACCCAGGCAAGTTTCAGAGCAGGAGTGAAAGTTTATTAAAAAGCTTTAGAACAGTAAGGAAAAAAGGAAAGTAAAGAAAGGAAGGAAAGGTATGTGCTTTCCTTGGTTGAGAAACCAAGTGTGCCTGGTGATTTTTAATGTTACTGAAGATGTGGCATGTTAAAAAGGCATCTTTCTGCTAACACAGTAATCCCATGATTGTTTTTGTTTTAAATCTTGGCCAGGCTGGTCTCAAACTCCTGGGCTCGACAGATCCTCTTGCCTCAGCCTCCCAAAGTGCTGGGATCACTGGCCTGAGCCACTGCACCCGGCGGTATAATCCCAGTGTTTTGGGAGGCCAGGATAGGCGGATCAATTGAGGCCAGGAGTTTAAGACCAGCCTGGGCAACAGAGCAAAACACCGTCTCTACGAAAAATAATTAGCCAGGCATGGTGGCCTGTGGCTCAACCTGAGTGAGACAGTGACTCTAAAACAAAACAAAACAAAACAAAACAAAACCCTACCACAATCGTATCACACTAAGAAAACTGATAATTTAATATCTAATATGCAGAACACATTCAAATTTCCTCAATTGTTCCAAAAATGTATTAGGGCTTTTTTTTTTCTTTCCTTTTCCAATCCAAGATTCAATCATGGTTTGTTTTTCCATATAGAACAACAACCGCCCTGCTTTCTGTGTTTCAGGACATAGACATGAATTGTCTTGTAGAATGTTCCTCATTCTGGATTTCTTGTCTCATGTTTTCAGCAAAGTTCAGGTTACACATGGCAATAAAGGTGATCTGTACAACTCATGCATTATATTAGGGTCAGACATCAGATTGTTACACCATTTTTGATACCAATTTTGACCATCTGGTGGTTAAGGTGGTAACCATTAGCTGTAACATTCCTATAAAGTGCTGGTCTCTAGTTTTAGCACTCATTAATTATACTTTCCTGACATTTATCTCCCTGGTAATATGGTAGTTTTCTATCATCTCTTCTACCTTTACTATTGACTTTCTAATGGATAGCTCCCTACCCACACCCACCCTCCCCCCCGCCTCAGACAGGGTCTCACTCTATCACTCAGGTTGGAGTGCAATGGTGCTATCTTGGCTCACTGCAACCTCAGCCTCCCTGGTTCAAGCGATTTTCTGTCTCAGCCTCCGGAGTATCTGGGATTACAAGCTTGTGCCCCTGTGCCCGATTAATTTTTGTATTTTTAGTACAGATGGGGTTTCACGATGTTGGCCATGCTGGTCTCAGACTCCTGGCCTCAAGTGATCTGCCTGCCTTGCCTTCCCAAAGTGCTAAGATTATAGGCATGAGCCACCGTGCCAGGCCTTATACCCACCGTTTTTGTTTTACTGTGGGTTTTTTTTTTAAATTGCGTTTTATGACCCTTTATGGTGGTGGTTCTCAAAGTGTCCTCATCAATAAGCAACAGCAACTTTACCTGGGAACTTGCTACAAATGCAAATCAGAACCCTAGGGACACCCAGAAATGTGTTTTAACAAAGTCTCCTCCGAATTCTCACGTTGGATAACCACTGCATTATTTTTTTTATAAAAAAATTTTTGAGACCGTCTTTTTTGCATTTTTAGTAGAGATGGGGTTTCACCATGTTAGCCTGGCTGGTCTCGAACTCCTGACTTCAGGTGATCCACCCGCCTCAGCCCCCAAAGTGCTGGGATTGCAGGGGTGAGCCACCACGCCCGGCGAATTTAACTTTTATCAGGAGTCGTATTACATTAACAATGGAGAGGAAGAAAACAGCACAGTATGATCAAGATTAACTAGGGAGTAATTAGCTGTAAAAGAACTCTCGACTCTCTTGTTCAAAGAGGTTCAAGCTGCTGTGCTTGTGCGGGAAGGGCTGTGTCCCTTACACGACCGACTCTAATGAAAAACTACAAATCAGTCATTTGTCCTTCATTTTCTCCATTCCCCCCACTCACTACACAGCTAAGAAAGCTCAATGGTACCCTGCAGACACTCAAAACTTGAGGGCACCCAACTCTCAGTTACGAGTGGTGTCAATCATAATGACAGAATGAAGTATCAGCGCAAGAAATTTAAAGTGTGTGGATGCCTCCAGGCTGGAAGTCTGGGTTCGAAATGTCTGCAATGCCTCGCACTTGTGGCCCGTGGATATCCCTGAACTTCAGAAGCCACTGGTTTCCCCGCCAAACGAAAGGTATGCACCTCATGGGTTCAGGTCAAAAAAGTCTTCTAAGCAACCCTCTAATGTTTATCTTTCACAGCCTGCCGGGCACACCCATCTTCAAAGGCAGCGGACGGAAAAGAAGTGCCAAGATGGGTGGACACACAGCTGTGGCCGCACTCACGTGTCCCAGCACCAAGGCCGAATGACCACTTAGGTCAGGAGATTTTCCCCCCGAGGCTGCTGTTACCGGGAGGTGTCCCAACGTCTCTAGTCCAGCCCCTAGCTCAAAACTCTACACATCTGACGCTTAACGAAAGCTATTCCAACTTTTTACCAGTGGTCTGCAGTTATTTTCACCACCAGAGCCCGGATGAAAAAAGAGCGAGAAGCAGCCGCAGCAACCGAAAGCCCAGGCGGAAAGGGTGGGGCCCTGGGCGGAAGAGGCGGGGCTCTCGGGCCTTTTCCCGGCGTCAATTTAGTGGCGGGAAAAGCGACGTCTTCTGAACGGCGTTTTCCTGCTGAGTGGTAGCCTTTCCCCTCAACCAGCAATGGAGGAACAGCCCCAGATGCAAGCCACCGACGAGCCCGCGGACTCCGGAGAGGAAGGCGGGGCAGGCGGGCCGCCGCAGGTCGCCGGCGCCCAGGCGGCGCGCAGCGAGGACCGCATGACCCTGCTCCTCAGGTTGTTCCCTTTGGCCGCCTCAGCCGGGGCCAAGTGGGCGTTGTGGCCCGGAACTCCGCCCTTTGCTCAGAAGGGCTAGGGTTCGAATTCACGCTCGGTCACGTCATGTCTCCGTGACAGCCTCATTCACTTAAACTCTTGAAGTTCTTTCTTCATCAGCGAAAAGGAGAGAAAAATGACCCCCTGGTAGACAGGTTTTAAGGGTTAAATGAGACAGTCTAGGAAAGTGTTGAGCACAGTGCCCCGGGCCCTTGGAAAGTCCTTAGAAGCTGTAATTTCTCCTCCTGTTTCCCCCCTGCGCCCCCGGTTTACAGGCAAGTTGAATACCAGACCTAAATTGAAAGGAAGGTGCCCCTACCTTTTCTTTTAGAACTACGACCCCTTCGTAACCCAGAAGGTTTATATGTTATATATTCTACTAAGCGGATGATGTTTATACTTTTCCACTAAGCGGTTGCTGGGGAAGATTCGATGAGAAGGGACATCCGTCTTCCAAACCAGTGAGCAGGAGAAGGTCCTGGGCCAAATCTGCCTAACTACCTATTTTTGTGTGACCACTCAAGCTACGCATAGTTTTTATGTTTAAGTGGTTGCAGGGAAAAGATCATAAAAATATTTCATAATACATGAACTCTATCAGAAATTAAAATTTCAGTTTCCATAAATAGTTTTACTGGAATACAACTTTCCTGCACAAGGGTGGAATTGAGTAGCTAAAACAGAGACCATGTGACTCACAAACCCTAAAAAAATTGCCATCAGGTCCTTTACAGAAAAAAATGTGCGGTCCTCTGTTCTATATCATAAAGGTAGTTTTAAAAAAATTATGGGTCGGGCGCGGTGGCTCACGCCTGTAATCTCAACACTTTGGGAGACCCAGGCGGATGGATCACCTGAAGTCAGGAGTTCAGACCAGCCTGGCCAACCATGGCCAACATGGTGAAACCCCATCTCTACTAAAAATACAAAAATTAGCTGGGCGTGGTGGCGCTCACCTGTAATCCTCACTACTTGAGAGACTGAGGCAGGAGAATCACTTGAACCCAGGAGGCAGAGGTTGCATTGAGCCGAGATCGTGCCACTGCACTCCAGCCTGAGTGACAGAGCAAGACTCTGTCTCAGGAAATATAAATAAATAAGAAAATAAAGTCAAAAGTTTCAGAATTATGAAACTGTCATGCAAGTGTGAACTATTTTGTAAATATAATTTATTTGGGGGGCTGAGGTGGGCAGATCACGAGGTAGGGAGTTCGAGACCAGCCTGGCCAATATGGTGAAACCCCGTCTCTACTAAAAATACAACAATTAGCTGGGCGTGGTGGCAGGCTCCTGTAATCCCAGCTACTCAGGAGGCTAAGGCAAGAGAATTGGTTGAACCCGGGAGGCAGAGGTTGCAGTGAGCCGAAGATTGTGCCATTGCACTCCAGCCTGGGCAACAGAGCAAGACTCTTGACTCAAAAAAAAAATTTTTTTTAATTACCTTTTTTTCTTTTTTAAATGTTTTGAATAATGAAAATATACCTATTTCTTTTTTATTGCTTTTTCCTCCTTACCCTTGCTGTCATCTTAAATTACCATTTACTCATTGTTTTTCTACTTATGTATGATTTTTGGATTTATAGAACAACTGAAAAACTAAGTGAATCCAAGGATTAGTATCTTTGTTATTTTTCTGTATCTCCTGATAACATCTGTATTTGTAAATAATTACAGTGGTTTGGGGTTTAATCAGTTTGGTCTCTTTGTATTGCATCCTTAGTTCAGTCTGGCCTATTAAAAATAATCTTAAATGCCAATTTTTTAACTTTTCCTTACAGATGCTGTTTTCCCAGTGTATTCCATTTTGTGTCTTCCTCTGAGGCCTTGAAGTTCTTTATACCCATTTTAAACAAAATGGGGCCAAATTAGAAGTTTGTAATTATGAGTTTAATTATTTGTATTTATTTTGTGATATCATCTTCCGAAAAAGAATGAGTTGGTTCATCACACGGTAATGAGTAAAACCTTAATAAATATGTGACTTTATATTCTCTTTATCTGTTTTCAGGCTGAGAGCACAGACAAAACAACAGCTCTTAGAATATAAATCAATGATTGATGCAAGTAAGTATTTTCATTTTCAAATTAGGGTTTTGTTTGTTTGTTTTTTTGAGACAGGATCTTGCTGTCACCTAGGCTGGAATGCAGTGGCGCAGTCTCCGGTTTACTGCAGCCTCAGCCTCCTGGGCTCCAGCAGTCCTCCCACCTCAGCCTCCCAAGTAACTGGGACCACAGGCACATGCTACCACGCCTGACTAATTTTCTGTATTTTTTTGTAGAAACAGGATTTTGCCACCACACCTGGCCTCAAATAAGATTTTATGAATTTGATGATTAACAGTTCTCGAGGAAAAATAAAATTAACTTTACCAAAAATTGTTTATATATGTTCTAGTGTAGCAAAACTGGTAAACATGCAAGATATTTATGAAGTATGGTAAGTATGGTGAAGGAAACAAAGGCATGATAAGAGGGAGGGGCTTCTTTTCATAGGAATGGCTTCTCTAAGAAGATAATTTTAGAGCTCAGATCCAAATAAGAAGAGTTTACATTCCAATAGTCTTTTTGTTCTCTGTATAGCTAGTACCATTTTTAAGGGATTATGACATCCAAAACCTAGATTTAGTTAACATTGTAGAATTTCTGTACCTAGGAGAAGACAGATGTAAGGCAGGTCACAGGAAGTTTAGTTGTAGCCTTTGAAAGAAGATGTTTATCTAAAATTGACTATCTGCTCTTTTAGAGGCCAAGACAGGAAGATCACTTGAAGCTAAGAGTTTGAGATTGGCCTGGGCAACAAAGTGAGACTTCGTCCCTACAAAAATGAAAGAACTTAACCGGATATGGTGATACATACCTGTAGTCCCAGCTGGGACTCACTGGGCTCAAGTGATTGAATCACTGTACTGTACTTCACTCCACTGGGCAATAGAGTGAGACTGTCAAGCAATCAATAGAGAAATAAGTATTGATTCTTTTACTGTTTAAAAAATATATATATGGCCAGGCATGGTAGCTCACGCCTGTAATCCCAACACTTTGGGAGGCCGAGGCAGGTGGATCAGCTGAGGTCAGGAGTTCGAGATCAGCCTCACTAACATGGAGAAGCCCCATCTCTACTAAAGATACAAAATTAGCCGGGCGTGGTGGTGCATGCCTATAATCCCAGCTACTTGGGAGACTGAGGCAGGAGAATCGCTTGAACCCGGGAGGCGGAAGTTGCAGTGACCCGAGATTGCGCCACTGCACTCTGGCCTGGGCAACAAGAGCAAAACTCTGTCTCAAAAAAAAAAAAAAACATATATATATATATAACTGAGACTTTATTGGTTAAAGGATTGTTTTTTACAATAAAGGGATCTATTTTAAGGGTACAATTTGATGAGTTTTGACAAATTTCTAAATCTATATAATCACTACCACAATCAAGATACAGAACATTTTCGGCTGAGCGTGGTGGATCAATCTGTAATCCCAGCACTTTGAGGTTCCAAGACGAGATGATTGCTTGAGCCCAGGACAACCAGCCTGGGAAACATAGTGAGACCCCATCTCTAAAAAATCAAATTGGCCAGATGTGGTACCATGTGCCTGTAGTCCCACCCAGCTGGGGTAGGAGGATTGCTTGAGCCTGGAATATCAAGGCTGCAGTGAGCCAAGATCACACCACTGCACTCCAGCCTCTGTAACAGAAGAAGACCCTGTCTCCCAAAAAAAAAAAAAAAAAGATACAGAACATTTTCTTTTTTTCTTTTTTCTTTTTTTTGGATGGAGTCTTGGAGTGCAGTGGCGAGATCTCGGCTTACTGCAACCTCCGCCTCCCGGGTTCACCGCCTCAGCCTGTCAAGTAGCTGGGATTACAGGCGCCTGCCACCATGGCCAGCTAATTTTTGTATTTTTAGTAGAGACAGGGTTTCACCACCTTGGCCAGGCGGATCTTGAACTCCTGACCTCGTGATTCACCCACCTTGGCCTCCCAAAGTGTTGGGATTACAGGCGTGAGCCACTGTGCCCGGCCAGAACATTTTCATACCAGAATAATCCCATGTGCCGCTTCACAGTCAGTCCCCACCCTTTCCTCCAGCAACCACCAATTTGATTTTTGTTACTGTGGAATTGTCTTCTAGAGTTGTGTTGTCCGATGGGGTAACCACTAGCCACAAGTGACTTTTTTTTTTTTTTTTGAGTTGGAGTCTTGCTCTTGTCCCCCATGCTGGAGTGCAATGACTCGATCTCGGCTCTGGGCAACCTCCGCCTCCTGGGTTCAAGGGATTCTGTTGCTTCAGCCTCCCGGGTAGCTGGGAAAACAGGCACCTGCCACCACGCCTGGCTAATTTTTTGTATTTTTGGTACAGATGGGGTTTCACCATGGTGGCCAGGCTGGTCTCTTAACTCCTGACCTCAGGTGATCCACCTGCCTCGGCCTCCCAAAGTACTGGGATTATAGGCGTGAGCCACCACTGCTGGCCACACGTGGCTTTTTAAAGCTAATTAAAATGAAATAAAATTTAAAATTAAGTGTATATCAAATGCTTAGTTGCCACATGTGACCAGTGGCTACCCTATGGAGTAGCATAGATATGAAACATTTCCATCATCATAGTGAGATGATCTTGCTCAGCGACCCAGGCTGGAGTGTAGCTAGTAAGATTTTGGCTCACTGCAACCCCTACCTCGTGGGCTCGATCGATCCTCCCACCTCAGCCTCCCAAGTAGCTGGGACTACAGGCATGCACTATCGTGCCTGGCTAATTTTCAGTAGAGACAGAGTTTCGCTATGTCTCCCAGGCTGGTCTCAAACTCCTGGACTCAAGCAATGTGGTTAGTCATCATTGAGATGGGCCGTAAATGTAAAATACAGACAGAATAATGTGAAATGTGTCATTAGTAATGTTAAACTGACTGCACATTGAAATAATATTTTTGATCTATTGGGTTAAATAAGTATATTAAAATTAAATTTCACTGTTTCTTTTCTGTAATGTGGAAATGACATTTTAAATGATGTATTTTGCCCTTGTGGCTTATATTATATTCCTTTTGGACAGCACCTTTCTAAAATGTTAGTAACTTCAAAAAATTGTTTATTTGCAGATGAAGAAAAAACTCCAGAACAAATTATGCAAGAAAAGCAAATCGAAGCGTATGTTGTATTTAAAATTTTTGTTTATGGTCTTTACTAAGATTTAATCATATTTTCTATTATTTTGTTGTTAGAGATGGAGTCTCACTATCACGCAGGCTGGAGTATGGTGATGTGATCATAGTTCACTGAAGCCACTACCTCCTGGGTTCAAGGGATCCACTGGCCTCAGCCTCCTGAGTAGCTGGAACTACAGGCTCATTGTACCAAACCTGACTTTTTAAAAAATATTTTGGGGCCGGGCATGGTGACTCATGCCTGTAATCCCAGTGCTTTGGGAGGCCTAGGTGGGTGGATCACCTGAGGTCGGGAGTTCAAG